CTCTACTTCACCCTCGTCGTCGTCTTTGTCTGGTTGAAGAGCTCGTGTCTTATAGCGATTTCATCGGGCTGAGTTTCGTCTGGCTCGTCTTCTGCAGTGCTTCGCTGCAGGCCGAAGGGCTTCTGACCCAGCTCGACAGCTGCACCACGACTGACCCAGCTCGACAGCTCCCTCCCATGTCTACGTCGTTTCTGCCTTGTCTGTTTCGACGCCGACAACTGCATATCACACGTTCGCCTCTCCCAGCTTCCGGGCTTTTGGGACTTTGCAGTAGGAGGCGTCGACAGCTTCGCTTTCTTTCACACCATCTTCTAGCAGGTACCTGCTCTGATGGCGCTCCCTCCTTCTGAACTTGGCAAAGCCTCTTTTGCCCACGTGGTGGGTAATACTCAGGTGGAGTCGGCGGTTGTCTTTTCCTCAGGCTATAAGGATTGTCGTGATGGTACATGTGATTGCCTTTTTGTTAAGAAGACAAATAGGAAAGGTGAGAAAACAACACTCTTTTTTTCAGACATAGAAATTTCAACCTTGACTGAGAAATTCAAGTTCGCTCTCATTGAAAAATTTCAGTGGGGGCACCTGCCTATGAAAGTTATCAAAAAGAGTGTTTGATTATCTCAAATTAGCAAGAAAGTGAGGCTCATGTATGAGAGACATGCGTTGATTCAATTAAACGTGACTGAAGATTACACATTTTCTTCAAAAAAATATATTAACATTGCAGACAAGTCAATGAAGTTACTCAAGTGATCTCCTGATTTTGACCCCAATCATGAATCTACTACTGTATCAGTATGGTTTAGTCTACCTGGTCTCAAGCTGCATTTTTTTTTATCATCATTTTTTTTTATCATCAGGTTATATCATCAGGTTATTTACTCTATTTGGGTCATACTTGGGGACCCTATGAAGCTAGATCTACCCACTTTCAACATAATTAGACCTTTTGTGGCTAGAAAAACTGTAGGAGAGGTTTTGGTCAGAATGATATTACTTTACCTGATTACTTTACCTGATATTACTGAAGTCTGACTGGACACAACTCATAATGAATATTGACAACAAATCGTCATGGAATACAGACCTCCTTATTGTACCACTTGTAAGATATTTGGACATACCTTTGATAAATGTCACAAGCTCCATTCTAATTTGAAATCTAAAGTTTAAGTGAATAAGGAAGGGTCAAACCCCACTGCTCTGGACATCTCTGCTCCACCTGGGAAGGAAACTACCACAAGACAGGATTTGGTGACTGATCTAATTGCTCCTGTGGACCCCCCTCTGACAATATTTTTACTTTTTCTACAATTGATGTGATGTCGGATGGCTCTGTTGGGCAACCTATACCTTCAAACCCTATTGAAAACAGTACTGAAGGATCCTTACCTTCAAAGGATAGTTTTTCGGATGGATATTTCTTGCCACAATTGAGGGAGAAAGACTCTCTAAAAACTTTAGCTCTCTACCACCACTTTTTGCAAGATCTCTCCCGGGTTGTTGGCAATCTTTCTACTACAACACTACCACCTCCTCATCCGAATGATCAATCTTCGAATGAGGAATGATAAGTTTACACTTCCAGGAGGAAGCAGAAGAATGGAGATCTACTTGAGCTAAAGAATCCAATGGATGCTACTTTGGTTACTTCAGGTAATGGTACGCACCTCACTAATTTGTTTGCTGACTCCCTTACGAAAATTAGAGGCTGAGACAGGACTAAATTGAGTCGTCCCTAACTACTTCTGCGCATTGGTGGTTTGGGTTTTCTTTTTTATTTTATGTGTACCCTCTTTTTTTTTGAGTTTTTTTGTGTGCGTTTGTACCGTGTGTTGGGTGCCTACTTTTAGGCCCACTCATACAACCTATCTGTATTATTTTCTTTTTAATATAATAGTCATTGGGCTTTTGTAATATATATATATATATATATAGCATGCACATGTTTGATGCAATTTAATTTGTGTGAGATTTTCTTCGGAAGACATGCATGTTTTTTTTATACATGTCGACCATTAATTGATTTGGGGTGTGACAAATGCATGAATTTCATGACGACATGCATGCTTATTGAGCAACATATATGTTTTTAAAACATTTCACACGTTCACTTTTTTCTTGTTTGATAAACTATGTTAAGTTTTGCCGAGATGAGAATGATTAGGTGGATTAGCTTTACACTTAGAGACAAAATGCAAAATAATTATATATGTTTTATTTGTGAAAGAGTTAGTATAGCTCCAATGACGGACAAAATTAGAGAGAGTAGTCTTAGATTGTTTGGTCACATTAAACGTCGACCATTTGATAATCCGATTAGAAGAGTAGATGTTTTAGATTCGACTTATGCTGTGCAAGGCAGAGGTAGACCTTGGATGACTTGGGCATATTGTATAAAACATGATCTTAATTTATTAGAATTAAATGAAAATATGATACTAAATAGGACATAATGGAGAAAAATGATTCATGTTGTCGACCCCACTTGATTGGATAAAGGTTTTGTTGTTGTTGTTGTTGATAATTTGTTTGCATGCACATACTTTGGGTTTACAATTTGGTGAGTGTTTAAAATAATGTCTTCACAATTTTGTATTTTATTTGTGCCAATACTTGTGTACTCGAACTACGGGGAAATTTGCTCTTTCAAGTAATATAATGCACACCATTTTTTTGAGACCTTTAAATTTGTAGTGTGCGGTAACTTAACAAAGTACTTGCATTTGTTGGTGAACCATCAAAATAAATTCAAGCCTTTGTTTTTTAACCTTTTTCCCTTTTATGCATCACATGTGCACTTTTAGTTTTGCGGTTCTAGTTTAACATTTTGACTTTTTCTAGCATTTTTTTATATTTTAACGGAAATTTTCTTGAAATTGAAGTTCGAGCAAAATCTGACAATGTGCTCTGTGTTACTCCTGAGAGGAGTTTGTGACAATTGGCTATCATGCTATGCTAGTAAAGATGTTTTGGGTGTAGTTACGATGTAAGATACATCTCATCACACCGATGAAGAAGGTTTTGAGCATTTTGGCGCGAGTTTTATGAAAATATTGGTGATTTGGGGCTTTAGGAGTACTCCTAAAATACTTTGTAGAAAGGTTGAGAGTTAATAGAAAGTAGATGTGGGAGGAGAGCTGAAGAGGCTTGTGGGAGGAGCGGAGAAGGCTCAATAGAAAATTGAGAGAGGGTGTGTTACTGTATAGGGATTGAAGAAAGAAATGGTGGAAGGGGAGGCTACAGGTTCTTTAAAAAAAATCTTTTTTATCATAAGTTAGTGGTGAGATTGTAACAATGGGTGATTAGGTCATTAAAAGTAGTGAATGTTTTAGATATATTCGGTCTATTGTTCACAGCGATGGCGATATAACTGGGGATGTTATTAATAGAATTCAAGTTGGATGGTTGAAGTGGAGGAATGCATCGAGTCCATTGTGTGACAAAAAAGTACCACGTAGTATTAAAGAAAAGATTTATAAGATGGTGGCTAAGTGTTGTTGAGATGAGAATGCTTAGGTGGATGAGTGGCTTTCCACTTAGAGACAAAATATGAAACAAATTTATCTGTGAAAGGGTTGGTGTAGCTCCAATGGTAGAGAATTTTAGAGAGAGTTGTCTTGGATAGTTTGGTCATATCAAACATCGTCCATCTGATGATATAGTTATGAGAGTAGATGTTTTAGATTCGAATTATTTTAAGAAAGACGGATGTAAACCTAAAAAGATTTGGGCATGTGTAAAAAATGACCTTATTTTATTAGAATTAAATAAAAATATAACACTCAATAGGACCAAATGGAGAAAAAAAGATTCATGTAGCCGACCCAACCTAGTGGGATAAAGACTTGTTGTTTTTATTGTCTATTTGATCCTTATAGATAGATAGATAGATAGATAGATAGATAGATAGTTAGATAGATAGATAGATCGATAGGTCAAACTTCTGTGCTAGATTCTCAGCTTCTAAGTAGTATTATGAGATATTATGGGACTTTGTGTCATCCATGCGATTTTCTTACATTTGGACGACTTCTGAAAGTCATATCCTTAATTTTGCATATCCTTCATTGTAACAACGGCATGCTTTATAATATATGCCCTTTCATTTTCTAATATCATAATCTTCTCTTTGAAAAAAAAACAATCATTGAAATAATGAGTCACTCATTCCATTGATATGATCACATTTGAGATCAACAAATATTTATGAGTTCTTTTCTTTTGCTTCATAAGTGAATAAATTTTTTATAACGAGGTTAGAGTTATCTTCACTTAAAAATTCGCATGCTCAAAGTATCATAATTGACCTTAAATGTGTTATATTACATGTACATTCTTCCCGTTCCAATCACATATCCAATCAAAATGTCCAATTCACTTTCGAGCATCTTAGAGAAAGAAATATTAGATTTTTATAAAAATATGGGGGCTTTATATACATACCACACAATTCTCATGTATTTACATATCTAGCTCCTAAAGTTTAATATTTACTTGTATAATACTTAAATCTTTAGCATCAAATCAAAAATACTATAAATATTAATTTTCTTAAAACGAAATGCACCTTTTCAAGCATATGTTTTAATGTGATTTTTGCACCGAAGTGTTAGACATACAAATATAAAACTTCAAGTGTTAGATATGTAAATACATAAAAATTGTGTGGTATTTATGTAAATTTTCTTAAACATATTTTGCTCTGAATTTTAACAGAATGTTGGCATTTGCATAACCTTCAATAAAACTTTTTTTGTTGTGATATGTTTAGAATTCCTGTTACTTTAGCTTTCATTCTTTTTATTATTTTAAGGATAGAACCTAATAACCTTGAATCTGATAACACTTTAAAATATGCTATATTGTAAAGTAAGAAATGTTGGAGATTCTTCGTAAACCCATTTTATCTAATTTACTTCTTAAATACTGAAATTGAACGAGGGTTGTATTGCTTGATGGATATATCTCCCCTCTAAGTTCCTTATCTTTGATATCAACAGTGAGGCTTTTGGAAGGAATGCCAGTGCCATAATCCTTTATGAGGATGCTGCTCGGAAAAAGCTTATGGAATTCTTAGGAGTCCTTCAGGGCTGCCAGTTGATGGTTCAAGGTTGCTCCTCTTTGGCATCCCTGCTGACTATGACAGAGTCCAGTTTGATCCATATTTTGTTGACTGCTGGTATACTCAGTTATCCCATACCTGACTTTCAAATGATCAGCTTGTTTATGTGGCTTTTATTCTTAGCTTTATTCTTGTAATAACATGGTTCAGGAGAAGGTTTTCCTGATGTTTCAAAAATTTTGAAGTTTTTCAAGGATGCATTTGATTGGTCAGAAGCTGAAAAATCTGGGCGCATTATACCCCATGAAGGTTGTGATGCTGATTATGATGCTGTCTGTAAAACAATAATTGAAATTGAATCTGGTCTGATGAAGCACCTGAAGGAGCAACGCAAGTTACTAGGAAATTCATCGGTATAGTGCTTGGATTTCTATGCATTTCTTCATATGGCGAATTCAAGTTCATTCTGGGTTTTTAGTGTTTTGACAACTTCACACGTACTATGCAGATTAATTATGTGACTGTTGGGAAAGATACCTATCTACTAGAAGTGCCTGAGAGTCTGATTAATGCCATTCCTCATAACTACGAGTTGCGCTCATCAAAGAAGGTATGTGAATTGAATTATATTTTGGCTGTTTATATTATGATGGTTTTTTCTCAATTGAGTTAATTTGGGATGTTTGTTCATAATAAACTTGCTGAAAATTCTTGCTTATTGGAGCAAAAAAAAAAAAGGCTCTACATGCAGAGCAGTATAAAACTATTTAAATTGATCTTTGTAAGGACTTGAATGCCTGATGTTAATAATTATTTGCCTGAATGCCTAATTTATATTTAATTACTATTTTATCTCTAGTTGATGATCCTTAAACTCAGTTATATGGCTGACACCCTGTTCTATGGTCCTGTTTTTAAAGAAATAATTTCTCTAAAAAATATTTTATTCATTAATGATATGGACTTATATAGGGCCTTACAACGTTCTTACAAATAAAACCCTAAACTTCTATATTTCCTATTTACATATAGAACTTTAAACTAGATACAAATCCCAAGACTCCACCTCAAGATTGGCAAAGGATATTCACTAAGCCCATTTTGTCACATAACGTAGAGAAATCTAATGAGCTTAAGTTCTTTAGTGAGGCAGTCAACCACTTGCTCTCTAGTGGGGACTTAGCTTCAGTAGTTTGTTATTCAGCTTTTCCTTAATGAAGAACTTATCAATCTCTGCTTGTTTGGTTTAATCATGTTTTAGTGAGGCAGTCAACCACTTGCTCTCTAGTGGGTACTTAGCTTCAGTAGTTTGTTATTCAGCTTTTTCTTAATGAAGAACTTATCAATCTCCGCTTGTTTGGTTTAATCATGCTGCACCGGGTTGTTGGCAATGTTGAATGTTGACTTCTTCGTCACATCACAAATTCATTCGAGTTCCTTGGTCTTGAACTTTATCAACAAGGCTCTCGACCACATCATCTCGGCAACTCTAAAGGCCATGGCCCATGTACTCTGTCTCTGTTGTTGACCTCACTAATACTGACTATTTTTTGCTCTTCCATGAGACCAAATTGCCGCTTATGAACATGCAATATCCTATTGTGGACCTCCTGTCATCAGGAAAACTCACTTAGTCAGAGTCACAATAGCCCTCAATGCCTACATGCTTATTCTTTCTGAAGATCAACTGATCCATGTCACGGCTTAACACATTCATCGCTAATGAAATGTCAAAAAAGTGTGATTTAGATAGGCCTGACGCCCACTAATCTCTAGTTCCTCTCACGATCAACTGACTCTTTCGCCTCTACACTCAACTTGGCCTTTTGATCAATTGGAGAGACTGCAACCTTGCATTCTAGTATGACCATTTTCGTGAGGAGATCCAGTACATACTTCCTGTTAGATATGACCATCCACTTTGGTCCACATGCCACCTCAATCCCAAGTATCTAAGTTGTCTAAAGTCCTTCACTTCAATTTCTCTTCCCAATCATATCTTTAGCTTAGTAATCTCTACATCATTACCAGTGACAATTATGTCATCAACATACATAACAAGCGTACTGGTGTGATCTCCATGTTGTCGAAAGAACATATTATGGTGGGCATTGATTTGCTAATATCCCATGCTCACTATAGTCTTTCTAAACTTGTCAAACCCAGCTTGAGGAGACATCTTCAAGCCATGAAGTGACTTCCTAAGTCAACGCGCCTTGCCTACTGTATGGCCTGTACTAAATTTTGGTGGTATCTTTATATACACCTCATCCAATAACTCACCATGAAGAAACAATTCTTCGCATCGAGTTGGTGTAATCTGCACCCACCATTCACTGCCAGATAAATTAGTGATCTTGTTGTGCTCATTTTTGTTACTGGTGCAAATATTTCGTCATAGTCAATGTTATATGTTTGAGTGTAACCTTTTGTCGTAATTGTGCTTTGTAATACCCTACATTCTCTTATGGATTTTGTTTTACTGTGAAGATCTACTTGCACCCAACTGCTCTTTTCCTCGTTGGTTGTGGCACTTTCTCCCATATCAAGAGCCCCTAGCTCTTTGTGTATGACCATTTTCACTTGGGATCCTCCTTAGTTACTACCAACTTTTGGGTATAGAGAAAATTTCTAAAATACAATGAATGCTCCATGTACAGGGGATATGTTAGAGTATGAATCAAACTAAACAATGTCATTCTCCCACCTGAAACAATCAAGAGGATGTCCCGCATTGTTGTGAAAAGTCCTTAAATTTATGGGGTTGGAAGAGAAGTGGAATAATATCACTTGAATTTTGAGTCTGACGTGGATGGTGTGGGCACCTCAAGAGTCGAGATAAATAGGAACAAAGGGACTTGCTGGCACAAGTGGCATTGCAAGCATAGTTCTCTCATTATGTTTCCTCCTTGCATATACCCTCAGCTCCTCTTTAGCCCAAATCTCAACACCTCTGGGTTCAATCACCTCATTTTGCAACTCGGCCGATTCATCCCACAACATAGGACAATGCATCACTCTCACATGTACTAATCTCTCACAATTACTACTCACCCCCAATTGCCTCGTATCTCCAGTATCTGACGAGTCACCAAAGGGTGAGATCACCTCTAGGGTATAGTACAGTTCGAATTCTATAAAAGACATCCATGTTCACAAACAGTATATTCTCCATCATGCTCCAATAAACATACCCTTTCTTGGTAGAAAAATAGCCCACCAAAACACATTTCATAACTCTGGAATCTAAATTCTCCACTGATGGTTTGTTGTTTTTCGCAAAACATACACAACCAAATACCTTCAATCGGAGGATTTTGATATTATCCCCTTTCGATATCTGATAAGGAGAATTCTAATCCAACACTCTCGAGGGTATTTTGTTGATCAATTGAGCAACTGTCAAAACTGTTTGCCCCCACAAGTGTTTTGGGACATTCATCGTGATCATGTTTTAGGCTGCCTCTAGAAGATGTCTATTCTTCCAGTTTGCTACTTCGTTTTGTGCTGGTATGTATGGACATGTGATTTGATTTTGTATCCCTTGAGCTGATGAGTATTCACCAAACACCTTGTTGGCATATTGAGTCTAGATTGCTTTGTGAAAATCCTTAAAGCAAACAATACATCACCTTTACATTTCATCGGATACAACCCAATAACACGAGAAAAAAAAATCAATAAAAGTCACAAAATATTGATAATTATTCTTCAAACTCGTAGAATAGGATCCCTAAGTATTAGAATGTATCAAATCAAAACCACAAGAACCCCTGTTCCCAGAACTGATATAAGAGATTTTAGTAAGCTTACTAAACTCACAAGCATCACAAATAAGTTCTTGTTTATTTGCCTTTTCATATAACGAAGGATAAAAATGACTCCCATATCGCCTTACTTCGACACTCTATCATGGATGTCAAGGCCCAATCCGTCCTTTTTTTGTCCAAGTACCAAAGTCCACTATGCCACATTCCAATCTCAATTATCTGGCTTATTCCTTTCTCTTGAAAGATCGCTTTAAGAATATTAAATGAAATAATACATTTTAGTTGAAGAAATAATGACATTAATGAATTAAAGATTCATTAGAAAGGAAGGAGCATGCAAAACTTTAGACAAAGTCATGGAATCCATACATCTCACTGTACCCTCACCAACTACAAGCTGTGTTGTACTATAAATACTCTGGATGCTTTCCGAAACTACTAGTTGAGTATAGGAAGAGGCCTCTCTAGCAGTACCTATCATCTGTCGAGATACACCATAATCTATTATCCATTATGGTGATCTTGTGATGGAAATAACAACAAGAGCATGTGTATTACGAGTAGCTTTATCAGAATGAGCATAAGTAGCAATGTTGTTTTTTGCTTTCTCTTCACCATCTTCGGAAACTCATGATTTTGCGTCGATAAAGACCCACCTGTCTCTCTCTTGTCCTCTGCTACCATTAGATTTGTCTGGTTGCCCACTCTTCCACCTCTTCCACCTCCACAACCACGACCATGACCTCCAAACTGTCCACGTCTTGTTGTCTCTCCTTAGGTGGCCTGGGATAGACCTTACTCAGATCTCTTACTTTACCACAGTTGCAACACTTGCGAACGTCTCCCTGGACACTTGTCATACCTGAGCTCGAGACAGCCAAAGCTGATCGCGTACTTGGAAGTACACTCGACTCAGTGTAGCCTCATGCGACTCTCCTCTTGTATTATCGCAGCAATGACCTCATCTAGTGAAGGGATCGTCGCCTAGTGTAGGAGAATGGATCTCCTTTGATCAAAGGTTGGGTTCGAATGAGCCAGAAGCTGTATAGTCCTCATCTATGCAAAGATTTTTCTCTTCTTGCACCTCAGATCGCCACAACTTGACATCGGTGAGAAGTGATCAATATCTTTCCACAGTTGCTCCAGATCTATGGAGTACTTTTGAATCGATCTAGCACCTTGTACCACTGACTGCATCTCACACTGAATCTGGAACACCCTCATATGGTTTCGAGCCCCCAACATAGATTCTCTTCAACTTTGCCTAGATTTACCTCACATTTTGAATGTCATCTATTGATGAGTCAATCGAGGGAACCATCGAGTTGAATAGCCAGGTATAAAGCAAGGCGTGTGTGGTTCTCCACTCGTTCCCCTCAACATTGTCACTCCTTGGTTGGACTCTCATTAGATATCCCTCTAGTATCTTCCCTACTAGAGTAATCTTGATTCGATGTGACCAACTCAGATACGTGGCCAGTCCATGAAACTTCAGATCAACAAGAGTGAGATTTAGCTTCATTTGCGTCGGAGCATGTGCTAAGGTGCTGGCTCACGTCGAGATGGTAGCTTCCTATTTGAGTCTAAACAAGACCTTCAGAACTTCAAGATCTATCTTTTTTAGAAGTTCCAATATTTTCCCTCCCATACTATCTCCGTCTCCTGATATCTTCAATCACAAGTATCCAAGTTTAGACCACACAGATCACACGAGTTTCTTCCTCTTTTAGACCGTCTCCTGATATCTTCAATCACAAGTATCCAAGTCTAGACCACACAGATCACACGAGTTTCTTCCTATTTTAGACCTGATCTTGATCTATCTCATCATCAAGATCAA